CTGCGACCTCGGAATGACAGTAACCCAGTGTTCTGGGAAAAACGAGGCAGTGATAGAACTCCCTGTCTGTGCTGTGCACATTGAGCCGTGAGGAGTTAGAATTGTGCTACTCCTGCCCAAAGCCCATCTTGATTCTGTTTCCTGTTTTCCTACAGTGTGCTAGGCTGACGGATGCCTTCTGACGGTGTTCTGCCGTCGGAGTGGCTGCTGGAATGAAAGCTTTGTGCTCCGCAGGAGACACAGTGCTGGAGCCGCAGTTGTGTCAGCCTGTGCTGTGTCACTGGGAAGCGATCTTACCAACATGTGAAGTGTGCTCTTCCCCCGCTGAGATCTGATTCCCGCCGACGTGCCGGATGGCAGGAGTGACTTCTGAAAGCCCGCAGATGATCCAGGCTGCCGGGGCGGGGTTTGGAGTGGGAATCCGAGAGCAGCGTGGGGATGCGGAGCTGTTCGCAGCTCCTTTGCCTGTCCCAGGGCCATGTGTCATGGAGAGTCGCCGGGCTTGGCTACTCTGGGTATCCCTGGCAAGCTGGGACTTTTTTCAGCAGCCTCGCTAGGAGTTGAATGGCCGCAGATGCTTCCTCCTGACTGGAGCTGGGAGTTTGAAGGGCAGCTGAATTTGCTAATGTTGGTGCTTTGATGCAGAGTGTGAGAAATGGTGATGAGGCATGAGGCAGAACAGCTTGCTCGATTGCTGCTGGAGTGACTCCGCAGTGCTGACAGTAGTTAAAAACATGGCTTTGGTGCATAGGCTTAGTTAATATATAGAACTTGGAAGGCTGCTCGGAACAGCTACGGGCTCTCTCTGTCTGTCTCTTTTTAATCGTCGCTTCCCTGCCCAGAACTGCACTTTAATTTTCAGTCCCTTTAGGGTCATTAGAGAAGACTGACATTTTGGGAACATTGGTACCCTATGAGCAGGAATAACAGTATCCATGCTTTTTGCTGCAAGGGGATGTGCAATGCAGCCAGGGTTATCTTCCTGGTTGTTAGCAGTGGTGACATTTTTGTTGCAAGTACAAAACATGGTGTTCTTTTTGCTGGAGAGTTAGTCCGAAGCAAAAACTCGGTTGGGACTAGAACCAGGACATACTGGACAGGCTGTGCTTTCTTGGGACCACAGGACACGATTGGGTTAACTTCCCAGAAGAACCTCTCCTGCAGTAGGAAAGTGACTTGAACAGCTTGGCCCTCTTTACTGCACACGGAGTAGGCTCTGCCACCTGTGAGGAGTCTGGCTGGGTCTGATGGGAGAAAGACCACACGGAACATCCAAGGTGCCATCCTGCTTGTGCTCAGGCAGCCCGCTCTGCCCTCCTCCTCACCTCCTCGGCTATCCAGAAGCTGTGTCAGTGGTTTAGGAAGGAAGACCTGTTAGTTACTGCCTGGCCTGTTGGTCCTGCTGCTGCAGGAAGCAGAATCCCAAGGGAAGCATGTCTTGCAGGCAGCTGGGAAGGGCTGTGGTTCCTCAGGTCACGGTGAGACCTGCTGCTGCCAGCCCGAGGGAGAGCGAGCTGCAGGAGGGGCAGCGACAACCCGGGAGAGCCAAATGACCTTGACTGCACATCCACCTCTCGGTATCCGAGTCCTTTCAACTTTGTCAGAGCTTTTCGGATCATGTTCTCAATTAACTATTGATGTGCCAGCTGTTTCAGAGGTGGCATCAGATGGGGAACTCGGTCACTTGTGTTCGAGATCGGTCCCTCCGTGGGGGATCCCGTTGACTTCAGTGGGAATAGTCACTGGGGAGGGAGATTCACCTGGGACAAAGGGGGTCCTTCCTGTGCAGTGCCAGCACCTCTCCTTACAGAGTACAGGTAGGGGAATGGTCAAAGAGACAGCAATCTTGGTTTTTTTATGTAGTAGTCATCCTTGTGTTCTCCAGGTTGACATGCATCACCTCATGGAAGTGGATGCCAAATGCCCCTGGAGTTGCTGAAAGAATATTTATCAACATTTCTCTCTTCACCACATTTCATTTAAAAAAAAAAAAACCAAACCAAAAAACTACAAAAAACCTAACTGAAAACCTGCAGCCTCATTATTATTTCAGTGTAACTTGTGCCATGAGGAGATCAAGCAAGCATGTCAGTGTGTGACTGTCAGCGTGAAGAGACCAACTGTGGCTCTGTGTGTGAGCGAGTTCTGGGCATGCTACGTCAGGGGCACTGGTGAGTTTCTTTCAGGCTGCTGGAATGCCTTTCTGGGGGTTTTTGTTTGTGGGGGTTGTTTGTTTGTTTGTGTTTTTTTTGATGGACTAGTAAGTTATTAGGATGTGGACTTGTCAAACAGGCTTGCCAGGTTTTCAGCAGTCATCCCAAGTGGGCTGCCTAAAAAAGGGCTGGCACTGCATCACATGGAATGACCGATGATATGTCATATATTTTTAATGGGCAAAATGTTTTAATAAACATTCTCCCTCCTAAAATACTGGATTTTAAAATAGGTTTTAGCCTTGAGCCATGTAGCTACCCAGCTGTGAATTTTATAAGGCAACAATCTCCACACCATTAGATGTTATGACTGATATGCCAGTGATGGCAACAGCAAGTATTTCCACACATTAAAAAAGTTTCCAGTAGCAGTTAAAGGAAGTATGGCTCTACTTGGAAGATTTTCTCAGCTCAAAATTAAAGCAATTTAATAAAATTATGAAGTTAGCCACGTCCTGCCTTCTAGTGAGCTGCAAGTTCTGTGTATTGAAGCCATGCTGATTTCTGTGCCTGACAGCTTTAATCACATCGCCTGATGAGTTTGAACATCAACATTATTTTTCTTTTCATGTGATTTCTACATCCTTAGCTACTCAAAATTGAGCTGAAAGGTTGCACGATGGGGCAGATGAGACCCTGACATGATCTGCCACAGTTGTCTGGGTATGTAGGAAATCCTGCTTGGGTTGTTTGTGATTTCTTCTGGGTTGCAGCAGTTACCTTGTTTTATTTAGAAGTGTTTGGGACCAAGTCTCAAGTTGAAAGGTGCTTCAGTGATCCTTTGGGTAACCCAAGTCCCCCCTGTACAGTGACTTTTGTGCGGTGATCATTAAATCATGTAGTCTGTTGGAGACCTGTTTTCCTCAGCCTAAACCAACTAGCAAGTCAAACTCCCTCTTGACAATGTCTCACCTCTTGTCCACCACAGAGAGTGAAATCTGAATGTTTGTGTGTGTCTGAAAGAGAGAGCTGATTGTCGTGAGCTCCTGATCTTTGTTGTTCTTTCTTGCCTCCTCTGTGAGCTGTAGTCATCCTTTTCTTACACATGGACTAAGACAGGTTATAAAGTTGAAAACAGTCACCATTTATGGGCTCTTTGCAGTCTGGGGAGGGATAAAGCAAACGTGTTTTTTGTGATTAATTTTAAATTGGCACCAGGGCATTTATTTACTTTATAGAAAATCCCCCTTTTTCAAACCAAAAATTTTATTGGCTAAAATTCCGGTTGTCATTTAGAAATTCTGCACAAAGTCATTCTTTTAATAGTTTACAATTAGTTTGAAGCTGTAGAAGGTGACAGCAGGCTTTCTGTCATGTTCCTGTAGGACAGAAATAGAAGCACAAACATGGCTTGAAAAATCTGATGAGAACTGATACCAGGGTGGCGTTAATCCTTTGCAGCCTGCACAGTTCCATCCAGCGTTGGTGCTGCCAGCTGCTGGATCTGGTGAGCTGATAGAGCTGTAGTGAACAGTCCAGTGGCTCAGCTGTGTCCTGTCAGGTTTTTTTTTTTTCTGGTGTCACTAAAAGGTACTCACATTTCTAGCAATGTAGGAAGGAACTTTTCATTGCTGCTCACGCGATGATTTGTTTTACCAGCAAATAGGGATTCCATATCACTAGACTTTTCAGATTTGGTATGTCTCTGGTTTTGGTGGCTGAACCAGAAGACCCTTGAAGAGAAGTTAAGAAATTGCTTGTACAGTTTCACATCTTTTTTTGCATTTAGATAGATGGTGGCCTTCTTTCCACAGAGGAATGAGTGCTGTTACTCCACACTTATGGCATTCTCTACTGGTGATGGCCAGGGAGAAGGGAACCCAGAGGTCCTGGGTGCTGGCTGCTCTAAGAGTCAATGACACCAAGCAGCCTCTGCCCAACAGGGCTTTTTGGTCCAGAAGATCCATCACAATTAAGGAACTAAAATACCTCAGACTAAGTCATTGAACCAGGTCCCCACTCAGGTGACTTCTGGGTTCACCTGGTGCTCTCATGGTGCTCTTAGCAAAGGAGTGGAAATAACTTTGCCTGACGCTGTGGTGTAGGGTAAGGTTTTGGAAAGGCACGTCCAGATGCACCCTTTGGTGTCTCATTTGCCATTTCTCATACTTCAGACCAAGTGACAGCACATCCCCACCTCTGAAGTTCCTGTGGTGCCTAAAACTCTCCCAGGGATTTGTGCAGCCTTTATCACCTGCACTCCTGAGCAGGCTCAGGGATCTGCAGGGTGCGATTAGGCAGCCAGCAGGATAGAGCCTTCCTGCAGGTTATCTCTTGTGCTGGGATCTTGTTTCCTGACACTAGCCGCGTGTCACTCACTCCCATACCACTCCTCTCCCTGTTCCTCCTGTGATGTCTGTAAGGAGCAGTTAGTTAAATGGCAAATAAATCTGACTCCTCTTGGATGAAAGATCGCGTCAGGTAAGTTGCTGCTTGTTTAGCTTTGACTGCTGTGTCTATTAGGCAGTGATTTCTGGCACTTTCTCTTCACTGCTGTCACCCCTCATAAACTCCTTTCCCAGGGGCCTGACAAAGTTGTGTGGCACCGGAGAGCAGCGTGGCCGCCCTGCCGCGGGAGGCTATTCCTGCCCCAGCTGCCCGGCCTTCCTTCCCCCTGGAGCTCGGGGCCGGGGGAGAGCTGCGGAGCGGGATGCTCTGCTCTGCCATGGCGGGGAAGGCCACGGCAGGCGGCGGGGAGCAGGGGGCTGTGCCGGGGAGGAGAGCCTGGGGTTCTGCCTGGGCTGGAGGTGAAGCAGTGACCTCACTGCACGTTTCTCTGTGTGCCAGGTGTCCCTGCGGGCTGAGAGGAGCCCTTTGCTCATGAGGACAAGGGCAGAGGGACCCCGTGGTGTCATCAAGGACCGTCTTGTCCTCCGCAGCGCGCTGAGACGGGACAGGTAATTCTCACCAATTCTCTCGGTGGCCGGGGGCAGAGGCCCCGCCGCAGCCCGTCCGTCCCGTGTGACAGCACACGGACCCCCATGTCCAGGGGCAGCGACAGCGGGAGGGCAGCGCCGCACAGCGCCGGGATCCGCTCGAGTCTTGAAAGACTTTGTGGGTTATGACATTCCCCTAAATGTGCTGAGCTTTCTTTAACCTTTCATAAAACATTGTGATCTTTATGGACTGTATCATATTGTGCAGTAATGTGCTTTATTGTCCACAGAATAAGCTTTTCTTAAAGATAATTGGAAAGCTGGAAATGGCTGCTATCGGCTGATTTTTTTTTTTTAACACATTATTTCTGAAATGGGCCTGGTGTAATAATGACCCTATCTGTTCAAGATTTAAGATTTGTCTTGGCAGAGAAAATTGATCCATTTCACCTTTGTCTAATGGAAATTTTTATCTGGGATTATCTGTTTATGTAAATGAATGTTCCTCTGAAAAGAGAACTTGAGGGGGCTGTAAATCTCAGTGACACTTTAGTTTCATGGGGGGAAAATTGGAAAGGATTCTAGTATTTATCTGACTGAAATTGGTTATAAAAACAGAATTATCTTCGTGTACCTGCTGCATCTGATGTTTCCTGGAATTTCATTACCTTTTTGAATAATGCAGCATCACGGTATATGCAGGATTCAGTGTGATTAGCCCCGAAATTGTTGGGGGGGTGTTTGCCAGCACTGTAATTATCAGGAAAACGCAGCGTGTTTGGGGCAGTGGGATTCTGATTCCTGCCCTAATGGGTACCAATTAGCACAGTCACATTATTCAGGGGCTCGGAGGAGAGCAAGGGATATGTACCACATGACTGTTTTTCCTTACAAGTTATGTGGGGCTTTTTTAAACTGAGGAGTGAACCTAATTACAGAGGAAAATGTCTTCGGGTAATCAGCTTTTGTTTACAGTTTGCAGAACAGGGCTGTGAATATAGCATTTAAACTAATATTTTAAACAGCATCTTGAAACACAGTTTTGCCATTAAAGAGACAGCCTAGGGGTTTTTTTTTGGCCAAGTTTCCTCTTGAGCTTTCACATGAAGCAAGGCTACTTTGTAAACTTCTGATCCTTGCCCTCTGTGGCAACCAGAAAGGGATTTTGTAGGTATAAGGACAAGATGACGTCCTTTGTCCGTGCCCAGATGGAACATACAGGCAGAGAAGAGTAAACACACATTTAACAGGTGAAATTTTTGGTTGCTAATGCTTAGCATGAAATTCCTGCTCATCTGGAGCAGAGGAAAAGTGGTTTGCATCTAGGAGCCATCAAAGACCACACTTCAAGGTGCAAAACAATGCCCCATATTTGTACATCTAATTAAGTGGCCTAATTTTCAAGCATCTTTGGAAGCTTCTGGTTCCTCAGAGCTTTCCCAAATCACCCCCCTGGCCTTGATGCCCAAGCGGAGGATAGGAGCCTGATTTGGGAGGTGGATCATCTGAGTCTTCCTGGGCTGATTGCCATGGGAATTACACCTAAGGCTCTAATGAAGAGGGGATTTCCCCTCTGCCGTTGAAAATCACAGCTCCAGATGATGCTGTGTAGAGGTGCAGCAAGACTTCTTCAGCCTAACACAACAGCAAGCACTAAAAACATTTTAAAAAAACTATTGAAAACAGAAAATCAGCGCTTAACCATGGCTTTCACTCTCTTACAGTTCCAGGTCTTAATGTTGCTCAATTTATTTCCATAAAACTTCATGCAGCAACATTCCCTGTCCAAGTTCTTTACTTTTGTGACTTTCCACATTTCAGGCAGTCATTTCAGTTGGAAATATACATTATTACCAGCTCATTAAATACAAAGTAAATGAAGTGGAAAATTACAGAACTCCATGGATTACAGTGCACCCAACTCAAAATAGAAGTGTGTGATTAAAAACAAAATGGTCTGCATTTTAAAAATGGATTAATAGTTTTGGGCCCAGCTGGCAAAATATCACATGAAATGTGTTTTCAGAATAGGAGTAATGTAAAATAAATGTCACTAACGGTGCTCAAGGTGGGCCTCTACAAGCACAGGACTTTGCAATGTACAGGCTCAAAAAAAAAAAAAAAGAAAAAAGGAAAAAAACAATAAATAGATGTATTTGTAGTGTAAAGGACTGAAATACAGGAAAGGCACTTTAACAATGTAGGAAGGATGACAAGGCTTTGCTTTGCCTCAGCTGAAGTGTAAAAGCAGTTGTAATTCCTGCAGAACTGGAGCACTGTCAGGTTCTGAAGCCTTGCTTGTTTGCTTTGAAGGTAACAGTGATGATAACCAAGAAAAGTAACCACAATTACTCTCCTAGGTAAAAGAATAACAACAAATACATTCCTAGACAAAAGCCCTGGGGCTCGAGAACAGTTTGGTTGGCAGCATCAACAGCCCAGCATTAGGTAGCACTGTACCGGAAAATTACCTCCTCCTTGCAGCACAGGCGGTTTGAAAGAGGCGGTTTTTGAAAGAGGTGAGTGTATGTACAAACAGTTGTGTCTTTACTCTCTGCTGTTTAACTCATTTCCCCTGCTCTGGCTCCTGTTTCGCTAGAGGTTCAGAGAAATGAGACTAAATGGGTGGTGAAACAGGTCTGTTTTATCTTGTGTTGCTGTTTAGTAGTGAAGTAGAAAATGAAGAGTTAGGAATGTGAGAAAAAAGCATGTAGGTGTTTTGCAACAGAAGTAAAAGTGGATTTCCTCGTGACACTTTACCAGACCTTCCAGGCTTTGGAACTATTCTCAGGTTGGGGTAAGTCTTATTGTTCCTCATAAGGTGCAGAAGAAGAGAACATTTTGTAAAGTCTGACATAAAGTATATTAAAGACTAAAGGAAGAATCAAGCATAGTTAAAAACTCAGCAGGATTTTTTCCTGGTTTGTCCTACAACAGTGTTTAAACTGCTGCTCTTGGGTTGTGCTTTGTGTGCGAGCCAGACCTAGAGAAAGGGACTTTTGGCTGCACAGTGGACAGTTTGGAGGTTCAGAACTGGGGTTTCCTCACTTGTGTTGAATTTAATGTCTGGCTGGCTTGTGTTGCAGAGCGCAGCAATCCTGCATCCCTGCCTCTGTTCTGCAGCCTCTCAGAGCTGTTCTACACAATGGAGAAGGGAGGAAGGGGGGGAAAAAAGGGCCATCTGTAGCTGCAGATGGGGATTTGTGGACGGGGTACAAGTTGCAGTCAGTGAGTAAGCAGAGATGCCCAAAATATGTCACCTAAATTGACCAATCAGGCTGGGAAGGGGAGCATTAGGCTGTTTGGACGCGTGGTCGGACAGACCCACCCCAGCAACTGTGCAGCACACGCAGGCAGCCAGGCACTCGGTCAGCTTCCCGCTGCGCCCCACAGCCGGAGAGACGGGCTGCGCTTACCTGGCAGCTTGGCTCAGACCTCCTCCCACTGGCAGGTGTCTTTGGGCTTGTTCAGAACATGTTGCAAGAAGTCTTGTCTTTTCTTTTTAATGTGTAGGGTTTTTAAAGGGATGATGTGAGATCTTTTATACTGTTTGTGAGCTCTGAGATGCGGTTTGGTGACCAGGTATTGTGGTGCTGCAGTTGGTGAATGGATTGTGTTTTGTCTGACCAGGTGACAACTGGACTTGCTCCAATTACCTACATTTCTTTTCTGCTCTAGGAGGTGACAAATGCCCTACAATGCCTACAATTCATTGGGGAGATGAGTGATAAGGAGAAAAGCTCCTCTGTCCTGTTCTTGGAGAAAGATTTTCTTAGGGTAGAAGCTGTATGCATTCCTGTACACCACATCAGCTCAATATTATTGAAAGCTGGTGAACTTTTTCTTTGCATTTCCTTCCAAAAGAGCTCATCAAACCCAGCCTGCTGTCCATAGAAGTTTTTTTTTATTTTCTATTGAGTGTTCCAGGTTGCTGTTGACTTGCTTCAGGAGAGGGTAGTGCTGCAGAGCTGAGAGGTGGTGGTTTGGCAGAACTTTCTCTCAAAGCAGGCTGGCCAGTGCTGAAGGGACAGGTGGATTCCCTGCACCCTGATGGACTGGTCTGGATAGGCTGATAGAAATTAGGCAAAAGGAAACGTAAATTGTGGCAGTATGAGTTCTCTGTATGAGGAAAACCTCAGTGAGGGTGATGAGCTCATGGAATGGTATCTGAGGTGGAAATTTTGCAAGTAGGATCTTTTAAAACCAAGGAACTTCCCATGAGGGTCAGACATTCGTGCCTTAGCACACCTTTCATGCTGATACGCTTGCCCTAGCTTATGCTCATGTCAAAAAAGCCAAGCTGCGTTCCCTCAGAGGATGTTCTGAGGAGGCCATTGAGTCCTGTCCACACCTGCAGGACCGGAGGTGGGACAAGGTTTGTAGCTGTGAAGGGCACTGTGTAGGGTTGTTGGTCGGTCACTACAGCCAAGTATGTGTCAGCTGGTTGTCTCCAGCCTAGCCTGGTGGCAGCCCCGTCAGTTCTGCAGTGAGGGATCTGTGTCTGCTGAAATGGAGTAGCTCTAGGCCTCCAGCAGCACAGCTGAGGTCACAGGTGCTCTGGGCTGGCCACAAAACACAGTAACCTGTACGGCCTGTCCAACGCGCTGCTCCTTGCTCCTCCCCAGGGGATTTTAGGGTGTCAGCGTACGCTGCCTTTCCTAGGGAGCTCTTGAGATGGCTGTAAGAACTGGTGTGGAGCAGAGAAGGGGAGAGCAGTTCGACTGCTTTGGCTGCCTTTCCTTAGAAGCAGTGGCAGACAGGTGCCAGATGCAGCTGTAAAGCAGAGGCAAGGGGAGGTTCGGCCACAGGCTTGGGGCCTCAGAGCAGCTTTCCTGCAGCTGGGGGCTGGGATTCACACTGCCAGGACTGCTGCTGAAGGTGCATTGGGGTTTCAGACCTCAGCCGACAGGCTGCACTTCGGCACACTGCATTTGTCTGCCAAGCACCCAGAGCCAGGTTTTATTTCCGAGAGGCCAGTTGTGACCGTGGCGGTTCAGCCTCGCAAGCGTTTTCTTCATCTGTATTTCATAACACTTGTTCTTTGATAAGGGCCTGGTGTTTTGTGAGCTGTAAAGTGTGGTGAGGGCTGCAGAGCAACAAGCCTCCTTGTAATGCCTTTCAGGATGGCTCCATTATTAATGGTGCCACTGAAAATACTCCCTTTTACTTGGGGGCGAGGATAGTCTGCTTCACAAATCATCCAGATAAAAGCTGTATGCACAGCAGGTAGCATTTTCTTTAAGGTATGTTATCTTTCTCCACTAGCTTTAAAATTAACACCTACCCACTCTTCCCTGTTTGGGGAGCTGGCACAGGAGACTGGTGTGGTCTCTTGGCTGCTCCCATGTTTGACAGTAGAAGTGTCTGTGTTTCTGACACAGACCGTGTGACCTGCACTCATTAAAACTTTATCCCTCAGTAATGTAAGAGCAGTGAAAAGAGAAACCCAGGTACCAGTGTGCTTGGCAAAACAGGTCACAGTGACAGTACCTTCGGTCATGTTGGTATTGCTGAGAATGAGGGCCTTAACTGAAATGCATGTCAGGGTTGGCAGGCAGCTCTTGCCTTGCCTTTCCTGGAGGCTGTTCTGTTTTCACAGGAGCTGTGATTCCTGGGAGCTGGCACACAGCTGCCACCAAGCTGTCTGCCTGCCCCAGCTATGTTTGGCCCCACTGTCCATTCTTGACACTGACTGGAAGTAGAGGTTCTTCCTCCCAGCCCTGCTCTGACTGTGGCTCCCTGCAGTCACTACGTCTCTTTGCCTCTGTGCAACCTTTGGCTGTGGGCCCTGCTCTACATCCAGGCAAAGACCGCATCAGCTTCTGGGTGTTGCTGTCCCCTCCCACTCTTTCCTTTCCCTGCGCTCCGCTCCAAGTTCCCCGACTCTGTGCTTTCCCCACACCTCCTCCAAATTCCCCCTCCGCTTTCTCCCTCCTCCCCTTCCTCTCCCAACAAAGTCTTAGATCCTTCCCGCTTGTAATTTGTCGCTAATCAGCTGTCAGTGTCGGAGCAATGATGAGAGGTTCATCTCTTGCTGAGGGTAATGGCCTTAAAAGTCACCGAGTCAATGTCAATGGGATCGCTCCAATTCAATCAGAGCCCTGGATGAGGAATGGCCCCCGCTGACATTAGCACTCATTTTGAGCCCAAGCATCTGGGCCCTAGTAAATAACCATCAGTGGGTGGGTCCGGGGGACAGGTCATTAGCCCCACGAAAAATAAATATCGTTTCCCTTGATGGCTGCGAGTAATTTAGCTCAGACGAGGAAATTTCACCCTAGATTAAGTATGATGAGCCAATATCAGTCAGAGGAGGCCAAACAGTGAGAGCTTGATGAGATAGAGGGAAATTTATATGCAGCTGGCTGAATGCAAGATGAGTTTAAAGAAATGATATTCTCTTGTCCATGTGCAACGCCAGGCACTGCGTTCCCGTGGCTGACACCCCCTCCCCACGCCCTTGGGGCTCCCCCAGCGCACAGGCACACACCTGTGGGCTGCAAGGTCCACCCAGTGCCATCCCTGCCCTCCCCGGCAGCAGCAGCAGCAGCCCCTGGAGGCTCTGGTGCCAATGGCTTTCAGAAGCGTGGCCTCGGGGCGGCAGCGGCTCCTGGGGAGGCCCTGCCGTGGCCCTGGGCTGCCCTGGCCCTTTCAAGGCACAGAGGGACTCGGTGGCACAGGAGGCTCTGCAGGCCAGTGCCTGCTCCTTCCCTCCTGCCTCCCTCTGTGTGTTTGCTCTGCGTGCTTTTTGTGTGTGTTACTTATTTAAGCCATCAATCCTGCACACGATACGCTCAGCAGCTATTAATTCCACCCCTCCAGCCCCTCTTTATTGGGAACACACATTGGGAGTTGTGTTTTATGTCTGCTGGAAACAGCAAGCAGACAGCGTCTTTCCCTCATTGGCCCAGCTCTGTATCCTGGAGCCGTGGCTGGAGGCTGGCTGGGGTCTGTCCTCCAGCTGTGGCTCGGAATACAGATCAGACGTGCTGCAGTAACCCGTGCAGCTCTTCCTTTTTGCCAGGCTTTTCAGATGGATCCCGGGGGGACTGGGACACGGGTACGAGATGACCCCCGTGAGCTGGAATGCCAGAGGAAAACCAGAGCAGGACAAGAGCAGAAACCAATGGAAGGCACATGGAGAAGCGGACTATTTTGCTGAGGCTTGAAGAAGGGAATTAATAATGGAAGGAAGCAAGAGGCCTTCTACAGCTAGTGCACAATTTGGCTGTCTCTTGGAGGCCAGTTTCTTTGTGTTAGAGCTCATTAACTGTGCTAAGAACAGAATTCAGACTAATTATGTGATACAGTTTGGTGTCTTTTTCCTTGATTTTTGTCTGACAGAGAGAAAAGAAAAAGGTTGATATAGATGGGAAGTAAGTATTTAATTCTGGAAAATGTTCTGAGATCCAAGTTTTTTATTCCAAACCAATGTAAAAACCTGTCCCTCTCTCTGTTGATTTTTCTCTCTATCTGACTGTTAATATATTTATTTTTAAATACTGGAAATTCCTGAGGC